TTTCCTGGAAAAATTGAGTGTTAGTGTCCCCCTCCTTTAACCACTTTACATTAGCTTTTTGATGCCAGAACGTATCTTGCTGCTTAACCCTCATAAGCAACTCAGCTTGCACTTTGAAGCATAAAGTTCGATTCTCCTCTGAGTTGACCTCCTCAAACTTCTTTTCCGCCTCCAATGCTATGATTTCCAGTCTATTAACCTCCCTGAAAATATCCCCAAATACTTCTTTATTCCAAACTTTGAGATCAGCTTTCAGCCTTTTTAATTTATCCATCAAACCTCTCTTCCCCCCATCGTCAGATACGAAATCCACTTCTCCCTTATCCACTTGATGAAACCTCCATGTGAAAACCACATATTCTGAAAACGGAATTGTTTGGGTCCACCAATGTTGTCTTCCTCACACATGAGAAGAATTGGGCAATGGTCCGAAGGAGTTTTACTCAAGTGTTGAGTACAAACTGCCCCAAAGTGAGATATAAAGCCATGATTCCCTACGTATCTGTCAAGCTTTTCCCATACTCTTCCGTTGGATCGAACCCTGGTCCATGTATGAGAATATCCTATCGTAGGCAGGCTCATCAACTCACATGATTCTAAATAGTCTCTAAAATCCATAATGTCATTAAGTAGCGGGCTAGAGTTTCCTTTGTACTCCGAGAGGGAAGCTACTACATTGAAATCACCTCCTAGAAGCCAATCTGATTTATCCTGCAACGCAAATGCATTTAAATTTATAATTCCAACTATATTAATAGATTAAATAAATGTATAAGTAATATATAATTAGATAAGAAATATAAGTAATATAATTTATGTATTTATAAATTATAAGTAGATAATTAATATAAAGTAGATATATAAATATAATATATTGGAGAATAAGAGAATTAGAGAGTAGAGAGTTAAGAATAGGATTTAGGAAGAATTAGACAAGAGATATGAAAAAATGTTTTAGATTAGGAGTATTTATAGGTTTTTTTACCCCACCCCCACCCCCCAAATCCCCCAGACCCCCCCTGCAGCCCACCCAACTGCTATATAGCCGTTTGGGTTGTCCCCAGCCCACCCCCCAACGACTACTTTGGCCCAAAAGTCCAAAACAATTTTTTTTAAATGTGACCGTTGGACCCGGACCCGGGTCAACTATTTCCGGAACCGAGCCCGCCCCGGTTCGGGTCTACACCCGGTCTCGGACTGCCAGATCGGGCCGGTCCCGGGCCTGCACAGTAGCGGGCCGGGCCGGGTCACGGGCTGGGTGGCCCGAACCGAATCTACCCCTACATCTAACCTATCCATCTTGAATGGGTTATCGGGTGGATCGGGTAAGTTGCGGGTGAAATATAAACGATCAAACTTGAGACAATAAATACTACCTCCGTCCCGAAATAAGCGTCCTGGTTTGACCTTCACACAGATTAAGAAAGTGAAGTTGATTTCACACTGTAGCGACACTGTTTGGCACTGTTTTGCACTGTTTGACACTGTTTTGTATAGATTTGTTTACCAAATAAGGAAATGAGACAATTCTTTCGAGACAGATAGAAAAGGAAAACAGGACAATTATTTCGGGACGGAGGGAGTAAGTTACAAAGAGAAATCATGACAATTAAAAACCAAAAATTAAGAATTCATTGTAAAATAACAACAAAAACATGAGCAATTAAGTATATTACAATCATTAATTCACTGTGCGACTACTCCCCTGTCCGTCAGAAATCGGAATCTCGGCTTCTCAGAGTATCTGTCTAGGCGTCCACCTCCAACTCTCCAAAATAGGGCTAATGAAATTAGCCGATTAGGGTTGAGCTCTAGAAATTCAGAAACATATACTCCGTAATATGTATATGGAGTAACCAATGTTCTAAAAGGCGTTAGGCGCTAGTCGGGCGCCAGCCTAGCGTCCAGCGCCTAGGCGACTAGGCGGGCGCCTAGTCAGAGAGTAGTCGGAGACATATAAATTGCATTTTTATCTATATTTTTGCATAAATATGATAAGTGATATTGTATTTTTGTGTGCATAAAAACATCTACATATACATTAACAAACATGAATGATAGAATTATCAAATTTAATCATACATAGTATATGGAAACTAATCCCTTAACTTCATTATGTTATATATATATATAAATATTGATAAAATTTGGGTATGTATATGTACAAACATACATATGTTTATCTTAATTTACAACTTCATTTCTTTATATGCATGGCTAAAGTTAAAGTGCGTATTGCGTTTAGAAAATTAAAATTAGAAAGTGAAGTAATGTTCAGCGAATCTAGACGGCCTAGTCGGCCGATTAGGCGCTCTAGGCGGGCAAGTAAGCGCCATAGGCGGCCGACTAATTCACCTAGACGGCTAACCAAATAGTCGGAGCGCCTAGACGAAAATCAGGGTGCCCGACCACTGCCTAGCGCCTAGGCGGGGACTAGTCGGATGCCTAGAGCAATTTTAAAGGAGTAACATTGATGCACACTAATTAGTAGTGCATAATTATATGTTTTTATGTTTGATTTATGTTGATGGTTTGACGTTTTATTTAGTTTGTAAACATTTATATGATTTCAGTTGTAATTGTATTTTAGTCTTTATTTATAAGTTGTAAAGTATAGTTAGGATTTGTGGTGTTGGAAAGGAAGACTTTGAAAAGAAGAAAACAACAAATTTGACTGCCCAGGAGGAAAACCCGACCGGGTAGAAATCCCCATCCGGTCGGGTATGATTTAACAGACGAAAATACCAAGAAAATCACTGGACCCGGTCGGGTCCCCTACTTGACCCGGTCAGGTCAGATGTGACCCGGGACAAAACGACGTGCGAAGATCACCATAACGTGGCGGATTATCTGATTTTGACCGGACCCGGTCGGGTAAGTACTTGACCCGGTCGGGTACCCGGCCAAAGGTGTTGAAAAACACCTATAAATAGCACACTTTTTCTTCTCTAAAAATCATCCCTTTTTCCATACTTTTAAGCTCAGTTTAGAATAGCATTTCTTTATATTTTTCTAGCTATGTTTAGTCTCCAAATGAGGAGCTAAACTTCCATTCTTGGTGATGCTCTTGAAGCTTGTTAATTATTAAAGTTGTGAGTTATTTTCTTAACTTCTTCCCTTGAATATTAATTATTAGTTCTTTCCTTAATACTATCTCTATATTAATGTTGGAGAGTGTTGCTAAGATGACAATTAGTTAACATCCTGACATTAGTTAGAGTAGTATTTTCTTCCTCTATATTAATGTTGGGGAGTGTTGCTAAGATGACAATTACTTAACATCTTGATATTAATTATAGTAGTTTTCGTCTCCTTTAATAATATTCTTTCTTGAATATTAATTAGGGAAAAGTACACTTTACATACCTGTGGTTGTGGCCGTTTGCAATCAGGGGTCTGTGATGAACTTTGCAACAAACCCAAGCTTGTGCTTTCCTACCGTTACCACCCGCGGGGTCTAAGCGACTGGGCCGTTAGTAATACGCTACGTGGCGCTTTTTTTTTTTTGCTTACGTGGCTTTTAATCCCAATTACAAAGATTAGGTGAAATTAGGGCTGAAGAAAACCCAATTACAATTAGGTGAAATTAGGACTGAAGAAATCCCAATTCTTCCTCCCATTCGATTCTACACCTCCGGTTGGGAAAGAACAAAGATTGTTGGTCGAAGCAGACAAAGGACAATAACGCAAGCACTGGCAGATGGAATTGTAGTTTTTTGTCCTTAGAGTCTTCACGTGAAATATGTCCTAATAAGCAGGATCTACTTGAAAAGTTTAAATTTGAAAGTAGGAATTGTTTTTCCACTCCTGCTGGGGACAAATTGTTTGAGGTAGATTTTTATGATACTAGCCATGTTGTTAATCTAAAAGACAGGACTTGTACATGTCGAAGGTGGGACTTAAATGGCATCCCTTGTAAGCATGGAGTGTCTGCTATATATGCAAACCGAGAAAAACCTGAAGACTATGTAAGTCCTTTTTATGCTAAATCCACCTACTTAGCTGTGTATAAACACATTATCCATCCTCTGCCAAGTAAAGATGAGTGGGAGAGGATAGAGAGTCCAGATATTGTGCCCCCAATTTCTAGAAAACCTGCAGGAAGACCAAAAAAGAAGAGGATTAAACAACCTGATGAAACAAGGAATCCTTTCAAGGTGTCTAGGGCAGGTAAGCAGGTGGTTTGTGGCAACTGTAAGCAAGTGGGACACAATGTTAGAGGGTGTAAGACATCCATAACTGGAGAAACACCATGGCAAAGGAGAAAGAGATTAGGAAAGAAAAAAATGTCCAAACAGAAGCAGAGGGTGTTGATGATATTTCTGAACCAACCTCCCATGAGCCACTTCAGACAACCAATAATGACAGTGAATTAACAACTCCCATGACCCATGATTCGGTTTCCCAAAGCACTGGAGGAAGAACAAAGAAGAAAAGGAGAATCAGCACTTCACAACCACCCCAACCATCTTCCAAAAGAGTGACTAGGTCCTCAAGTACACAGCCCTCAATGGTAATTTTATGGTCTGCATTGTTACTCTTGTAATGTGTTGTTTTTACACTTATTATGATGTTATTACTTTTTTCAGGGCACACAAAGTTGAGGATTAACTGACAAGAGACCAGAAATGTTGCAGTTTTGTTATGGGGAGAAGAAGAATGGTGCTTTAGTAGACATGTTTAGATATCAGTATATGAACTTTTAAATCATGCCTTAGTAAGCATGTGTTTTGTAATGATACTTATGTAAGGAACATATTTTGTGGTTAGCATATGTTCTGAAGTTGTTGGATGAATTTCATATGTGTTGGATGGAAAGTATCTGTTTATTTTGATAATCTGTTTACTCAAACCATATGTTCTGTTTTAGGTAAAGCCAGAATCAATCTTTTGGGTTAAGAATTTCAGACCCAAAAGAAGTTGTTCTGTAACACCACAATGACATTAAAGAAGTTCACAGCACTCCCAGTATATCTACTATAACATTAACCAAAAGAAGATAGTGGAGAAATAAACTGCTATAACATTAAACAAGTTCACACAAATTGTTACAGCCAAAATCTTCATACAATCTGACAACAACCCTTACAAGGTTCTTACATTGGTGCATTACATTGGACATCACTCACAACAAAACGTCTCACATGAAATTAAACTAAAGGAATCTCCAAACACAATTACACGTGGTTTGGTCATTTCATCGAAAACTTAGCAAAGAACTTAGACCTAAAATCTTCTACTTGCAAAGAACATGAAAATTAACATGGCCAGACAGAGCAGCTTCCACTTAAAAGTGACATTATGATTCTTAGACATCCGCAGTTGCAGTTCCATGTTCTGAACCTTCGACACACCAATTTCACGCACACAGTTCTTTATTTGACCCTCCATCTCCAACTCTTTCATCTGGACATATTCTTCAAGTCTTCTGACCTTCTCAATAACAGCATCTAAGTTATGCAGACAAGTACAACATGTATCTTCTTCAACCCACTCAAAAAAATTGCATTGTTGTTCGCTCCCTCGAGAATAACGGCCGCAAGCATGAAACTTTTCCCCCCGGTTCTTCTATGTTGTCGCCGTCCAAATAGGAGCTTGGACTCCACAGCCGCACTTCTTGATTTGTTGTCTTCCATCCATCGCACAGGAGCTCGAATTAAAAGAACTCATCTCTTCAAATTTGTATTTGTGTTTGTGGAAGAGGGGAATGGATTTCGTATGCGTATATGGTCCAAATAGGTTAACACGGTATGGACTAGGGATAAAAAGCCATGTAATCACACATGGTGTTAATAGATTGGGATTAAAAGCCACGTAAGCAAAAAAAAAGTGCCACGTAGCGTATTACTAACGGCCCAGTCGCTTAGACCCCGCGGGTGGTAACGGTAGGAAAGGACAAGCTTGGGTTTGTTGCAAAGTTCATCACAGACCCCTGATTGCAAAAGGCCACAACCACAGGTATGTAAAGTGTACTTTTCCCTATTAATTAATTCCTACTCATATTTCATATTAATATTTTGAACATTACTTGAAAGATCAGCTAGTTTTGTTTCATATATTAATTATTACTAGAAACGATCGACAAACCGATGGTAAATCGTTGATGATTTCACAAGTAAGTAACTTCGGTTTATTAATGCACGGTCATGGTTGATAAACTTAAGAGGGATTAATTTTGTTGGTTAAACCGAAACCGTTGTGTCGAGGTTATCAATCTCAATTGATTTCATCAAGGAGTTAAAAGATTAAATGCTACTATCAAGTCAGTATATGGCGGTGTTCTATACTTGACTAATAGTAAGGGTTATTAATGAACGGTCGTTGTTAATAACTACCCTCGATGAATTGGATATACTCCTCGATTGAGTATTCGAGAGGGAATAAGTTATTGATATAACAATGATCGACTAAAATATATCAACAAGTGGAAAGTAGCAATGCCAAGTTCTTTTTATCTTTGTATTAAATCTCATATAAGTCGTTCATCTTAGTTTTAATTTAATTAAATCATTCAAACCTAAAACCCCCTTTTATTTACAAGTTCATAAACAGAAGAGTATTCCTTTCCATGTGGATACGAACTCTACTACGCTATACTACGTATAAGTGCTAGTATTGAATTTATTTTGACGCACCGTGAAAAAGTGCACGTCAAATTTGGCGCCGTTGCCGGGGATCGAACCCGGGTCACCCGCGTGACAGGCGGGAATACTTACCACTATACTAGAGTTTTATGGAATACTCACATTCATACTCTTTATTCTTGTAAAAAAAATTATAAAAGCTTGTTAAGTTGAAAATCCGAAAGGGCAACTTAAGCAAAAATAAAGCAAAAATAAGAGTGAGTTGTGAGAATTAAAACAGAAAAATGTTGGAAGCTGGGATAAAAACCCGAAAGGGCACCTAAGCAAAATGAGAGAACGAGAGAAAGTATTTTCTTTTATTTCTGCAGGATCCTAAGGGTAACGGAAAAAAAAGGTTGAGGTTGATAAAGAAATATGAAGTTGAAGAATCTCTTTACTCTTATATTTTTGGGGATATACTTTATTTGTTTCTAAAAACACTCGTGGATGTGTCTGCTGATATTCTTGTCATTTTAAGGACTTCTTAGACCGGATTTGATTTACTCGAGACGAGTAAAGGTTTAAGTGTGGGGGTGTTTGATGCACACTAATTAGTAGTGCATAATTATATGTTTTTATGTTTGATTTATGTTGATTGTTTGACGTTTTATTTAGTTTGTAAACATTTATATGTTTTCACTTGTATTTGTATTTTAGTCTTTATTTATAAGTTATAAAGTATAGTTAGGATTTGTGGTGTTGGAAAGGAAGACTTTGAAGAGAAGAAAACAAGAAATTTGACTGCCCAGGAGTAAAACCCGACCGGGTAGAAACCCCCACCCGGTCGGGTATGATTTAACAGACGAAATTGCCAAGAAAATCACTGGACCCGGTCGGGTACCCTACTTGACCCGGTCGGGTCAGTGTGACCCGGGACAAAACGACGTGCGAAGATCACCAGAACGTGGCGGATTATCTGATTTTGACCGGACCCGATCGGGTAAGTACTTGACCCGGTCGGGTACCTGGCCAAAGGTGTTGAAAAACACCTATAAATAGCACACTTTTTCTTCTCTAAAAATCATCCCTTCTTCCATACTCTTAAGCTCAGTTTAGAATAGCATTTCTTTATATTTTTCTAGCTATGTTTAGTCTCCAAATGAGGAGCTAAACTTCCAATTCTTGGTGTTGCTCTTGAAGCTTGTTGATTATTAAAGTTGTGAGTTATTTTCTTAACTTCTTCCCTTGAATATTAATTATTAGTTCTTTCCTTAATACTATCTCTATATTAATGTTGGGGAGTGTTGCTAAGATGACAATTAGTTAAACTCTTGACATTAGTTAGAATAGTATTTTCTTCCTCTATATTAATGTTGGGGAATGTTGCTAAGATGACAATTAGTTAACATCTTGATATTAATTATAGTAGGATTCATCTACTTTAATAATATTATTCCTTGAATATTAATTAATTCATATTCATATTTCATATTAATACTTTGAACATTACTTAAAGGATCAACTAGTTTTGCTTCATACATTAATTATTACTAGAAACGATCGACGAACCGATGGTTAATCGTTGATGGTTTCACAAGTAAGTAACTTCGATTTATTAATGCACGGTCGTCGTTGATAAACTTAAGGGGGATTAATTTTGTTGGTTAAACTGAAACCGTTGTGTTGAGGTTATCAATCTCAATTGATTTCATCAAGGAATTAAAAGATTAAAAACTACTACTATCAAGTCGGTATATGGCGGTGTTCTATACTTGACTAATAGTAAGGGTTATTAATGAACGGTCGTTGTTAATAACTACCCTCGATGAATTGGATATACTACTCGATTGAGTATTCTAGGGAGGTTAAGTTATAGATATAACAATGATCGACTAAAATATATTAATAAGTGGAAAGTAGCAATGACAAGTTCTTTTATCTTTAAATTAAAACACATATAAGTCGTTAATCTTAGTTTCTTATTAAATCAAATCATTCAATCCAAATCTCCCCCCTTATTTAAATAGTTTTATAAAAAAAAGAAATATTCTTTTCCCTGTGGATACGAACTCTACTACGATATACTACGATATTAGCCCTTAGTAGTGAATTTAATTTGAGACACACTACGACAAAGTGCTCGTCAAACATATATACGTATTTAGGTATCTAACTATCTATTGATATATTTATATTAACTATTATTATTATTAAGTATATACTCCGTATAATATATATTATGTATTATATATTATATATTACTCCATTCGTCCCTTAAAACTTTGTCATCTTTCCTTTTTGGGACGTCCCAAAAAACTTTGTCACTTTCCTTTTTAATCAATTATTTTGTGGTTTCTGTTATTTCTCTCTCCTCTGCACAAACCTCAACCACACAGTTTTTACTTTATTATTCTCCGTGTCGATCAAATTTGGCAAAGTTTTAAGTTACGGAGGTAGTATATATTTATATGCAAGTCAACGTGTGGGTGTATGTAACGGGTGACGGGTCAGATGATGGATTGGATGAGTCTTCATTCACACCCGATCCACCCCATCTTTCAGTCCACCCGTCATCCATTTTTCATCCATACTTCTTCAGGTTTTCATCCATATTTTCAATTCAGATTGACCGGGTATTCACGGGTGCAGGTGATATTGTCAACCCTATTTATTCCATTTGTTCTTGTTCAGCCATTTCGATATCCCAAAAAAAATACTCCCTTCGTTCTTTATTAACTGTCTCATATTTCTTTTTGGGACGTTTTTAATTATTTGTCCATCTTTCCTTTTTTGATAAGTTTTTTCAATCAAAATACCTTTATACCCCCACTTTTATTACCATTACATCTTTCTCTTTCCTACTTTTTCATTTACCTACAACCTACTGCACCTTTTACACTACCTCTATTATTTTATTCTTAAAACACGTGTCAAAACTTAAGAGGACTCATATTTAAGAACGGAGAGACTAGAGAGTATGCAACACTTTTGGCGTGTACACCCAAGACGATTTAGATTAAGTTCGAGATGACATTTTCCTGAAACAAGTGCTTCTTAGATGAAAATAAAAATACTCGAATACTTCCAAAAAAATCCTTTGTCAGTAAAAAGGAATACTGTTTAACGGTACAATGGAGTATTTTTTCTTATTTAAAAAACAAACGTTTTGTTACAAAGTAAATACTTCAAACGCTAAAATGCATTGTACAGCATGAACACCACGTTTTCTCCTAAATGTATTCTCTATTCCCTCCGTTGGTGACTTTGCCATCAAATTAGATAATCCCCGGTCCTTAATTAACTTTACACTTTCCTTTTTGGACCGTCGCATATTAAACTTTACACTTCTTTATTTGCCTTATTTGGCAAACAAATCTACACCAAACAGTGCAAAACAGTGTCAAACAGTGTCAAACAGTATACTCTACAGTAAAGTCAAATTTATTTCCTTAATATGTGTGAAGTCAAAGTGTAAACTTCATTAAGGACCGGAGGGAGTATATAGTTTGTATAAAATTTAGAATATTTTCACTTGGAGTCTTGGACTGAAATCTTATGATTTGATATGAACTGATAAGTTAATACGGAGTACATTTTATTATTTTTATGTATATATTAAATTATGGGACAACTATCAAATAAGCCCTCGAACTTTCATAAAAAGTGCAAATAAACTCATTTACAGAAGACTTTGTCCGGCTGTCGCCAATTGGGGCGGTTTCCGGTGAAATTTTTTGCTTAAATTTTTTGAGCATCTTCTTCATAAAGTCTAGTTTAGCCATACCAAATTTCAGCTAAAACTTCAATCGAGAAGGCAGTCAAATCATTTTCTGAAATATACTGCGCTGTCTAACTGCGCAGTTATCTTCAAAAATTCATTTGATTCTCTTCCCGATTGATGTTTTAGCTTATATTTGGTATGAGTAAAATAGATTTAATGAAAAAGATGCTCAAAAAATTTCATTAAAAAATTCCTACGGAAACCGCCCCAAATGACGATGGCTGGATAGAGCCTCTTATAAATGGTGATGTTCAAGTCTTTGGTCTAGTACTCTAGTCTGATGAAGTGTGGACATAGTTTGAAATCAGTCTAGTTGAAAACATCCTAACCGCACACTATTCTCCTTACAATCTATTAGTCATTTCAATTGAAGTTAAATAAGTTTGAGTTTCCTAGAAAATTTAGTTGATGAAATCAAACTGAACGGAGGATAGTATTAAACATGGTGATTTCTTTTTCTACACTTGATGAGAATCGAGGGGCAGAAATGCCATAAGTTTACTAGGAGGCAGTGAAGTGCCATGTCTGGGAGAGAGGCGGGATACTGGAATGTGTACTCTTTTTTTTTATCATCATAGGTAAGAGAGTCAAAAGAAAAACAACGCAGCCTAGCCACACACACATCCATTCCTGCAAAACTGCTCATTTCGAAAAATGGCCTCTCTGCCAATATGTACAAAAACCGTCTGTTATTACAAATTTGAATCAATTACGTGCAATGAATGGTTCATGTGCAGCTCAAGGGAATGCTATAGATTTGACAAAAGGCCCTTGTAGGTGATGAGGATGATGATATGTGTAGCTAGCTATCTTAAAGATGGAATTTATGTACTTCGTAGTGGGTACAAATCACAAAAAGTGGTAGAAATGATTACACATGTCAACTCGAGAAAGGACAAATTTTGGAAAGGGTAGAATGTTAATGGGTGTTGTGGACATAATTGTGTAATTAACTAAAAAAGAAGTGTGATTTATAAAATGGTGTATAATACAGAGGAATGGGTGTGGGAATTGGAAATTGGAATTCCTAAAAACAAAAATCAAACCCTTGGAAATATCAATTCTAAAGAAAAATGGACAGTCAACCTACAAAATTTGCCTAGAACAGAAATTCTTCAAGTACATGAAAATAGATGAATCCCAACTTACCAGTGCTCCAACTTTCCAAAAAAAATGACATGGCATTCTACATTATAGTTGCCAATCTATAGGAGATTGCCCCATATCCTCCATAAGCTTGTTTGTCTGCGAAAAATGCCTACGCAAATATAGAAGAAATTTTCAAACAGAAAATGGAACGTGAAGAAAGGTAGATGCTGAAGATATCAAAATTTAATACAAGGATGCAGTAAAACGATTGACAACGTGCATACACAAAAACAGTGTCAACTGATAAAATTAAGCATATTAACAATACCTTTTTGCAGGGGGTCCATTTTTCTTTCTTTCTTTTTCTCCCAAAAATCATACTCGGTACATAATTTTGGCCTTATGTTAGCCAGAAGAGGATAGTTTTTGAGCATACTTATTACTTAGTAACTATCACTTCCAAAGACAATGAAAATTAAAATACTACACATTCTAAAAATTAGCAAATCACAGTTTTTTACATGTAGTAAAATATTTGTCTGTGATTGTGTAAGGGAGTCACTGGGAGTGTACTACAAAAATATACAAAATAATATACTCCGTATAAACCAAAAGTATTCAAATACCACTTCTAAAAAATTATGTGAAGTTATGCACCCATGATACCCAAGAACAGCAAATTCATTGTCTGCCTTTGTGTGAACTTTTTCTCAGGAAATTAATGCAAAACAAGAGAGTGAGGATAGAAACTAGTGCACTTCTTCATATTCCTTTTAGCATGGGGAACGATAAACAATATAAGTAAGCAGGACAAGCAAAACAGAAGGATACAGAGTATAAACCAGAAAATGCAGAAGACGCTTAGCTAACATAAATTTGTTGTAGTTTGACAGACCTGCATCCAAAGAAGCCTCTGTTTGCTGACAAACCAGAAGGATGTGCCGATTTCAGCACATGATGCTTGGTTTCATCAATTAGCCTGTACGAGAATCTATATTATTACGAGTAATAATTCTTGATTCCAATGATGTATCAGAGTAATTAGTTTATTCTAGACCACGAAGTTTAACAAGGAGAAAGCAGTGCTCTGGCATCAAACCAACCTAAATATTTCAATCATATAAGCTTTGTTTGAAACATATAAACCTAGACAGATCAATTATGTAAATTTTGTTCAAAGCAGACACTTGCAAGAGTTTACCTGAGCTAATGGAACGTCAGGTTTTAGTTTCTTTAGTTCAAAGAAATTTTCATCCTAAGACAAAAGTATTTCATGTAGCAAATAGCTTCGCATAATAGCTTTACTAGTAGTTCGCCATCATATATTTCACATCAGTAAACCAAAAAAAAGAGGCACATTCAGAGACACCCTTGAGGCCTTGATTAATAAAGTTATAACTTGATCCAACTGTAGCTTGTCGCATGATATATACCTGCCTTTTGCTTGGGCATAGTTTCCCCAAAGAAGGAAGACAACTCCTTTTTTCTTCTGAGAAATTGCTCTTATTACTGCATCAGTAAATTGCTCCCAACCTTTGTTTGAATGGGAATTCGCTTGATGATGCCTTACTGATAATGTCAAGAATATAGGCCAATGAGAAGAACAGAACAAGTGATACACAAACACATGACCAGTAGACTGTTGATTTGATTCATCAAAGATTGGAACAATCACACTATTAGGATCCACTTCTCAGTCAGTGCTCACCAGTGTTGAAGAGCAGTCAGATGGGCAGGATTGAATTGATTTTAGTTAATTCATTACTTTCCTTGTTTTAATTAAACTAGTTATTAGTCTAGATCTATTTCCTATTATTGCTTTAGCCTTTAGTAATCTTATCCTTTGCCTGTATAAGCTTACTAGTTGGAACTTGGAATAACATATTTAGCTTTAGGAATCAAATGAAGCAAAAGTAAGAAAATGAAAGGACATCTTTTACACTTTACTATGTTTTATTATATTGGTTTCTAAATGGACAACTATTAAACAAAGTTTCATCCTAAAAGTTTGACCTTAGAGAAGGGGTAGTTCGAAGTCTTATATGATTTATCATGCTTTGCGAAATGGCTGCTCATTGGAGCAGAACAGTCCTGAATGGCAAGTGATCAAAAGTCGGACCAAGTTACTTATTTGAGTCTTATTCGAATCTTATAGATCATGGTCTTAAATGGCTTAAACTAAAACTGTATTTTCTAAATGGAAGGTTACTTAAGAACGAAGGGAGTACTGAAACAGAAGGATTCACTTTCATATTCCTCACTGAAGTTCAATGACAATTAAATCGGACTAGACTGGTTTAGTTTGAATTAAATCATGTGCTCTGTGCATGCAATCACAATAGGATGCTTTCTGGTTGAAGGGAGTACTGTGTTTAATACATAATGACATTCTTTAGTAAATGAATTGTCATCCTTTAGCATTCTGAACTTCATCAACTGCTTTATGTGCCAGATAAGGACATGGAAAAATAGCCCAGAGAGGGTTTCAGTGCGAGAACAATAATAAAAAACTTTACCAGTAAGAACAGCATTGAGAAGCAGAACACCCTGCAAATTAGTAAGAGGTAACTCAATTCAAGTATTTCAGATGAAAATGTAAGCTTGAATTCATTTGACGTAAAGTGAGACCGAAGTGTCATTCAGAAGTCATGCACGTAAAATGGCACGATTTCAGAGCCAACCAAAACAATGAGATGAAAAATGCCTAAGAAAGTCGTGACTTGAGTTTACCTGTATTGCCCACTTCTCCAAATTTCCATGAGAAGGGATTGAACAACCCAAGTCTTTATTGAGCTCCTTATAAATATTAACCAGGCTTGAAGGAACTTTTACACCCTCGGGCACTGAGAAAGAGAGGCCCATTGCTTGACCAGGCCCATGATATGGATCCTGGCATTGCAGTTTCCAGTAGAAAAAATTGTAAACATATTTACAAATCGATCAACTCGGCAAAAACTATCAGAAGTTCAGAACAGAGAGGCTGAATGAAAGAGAGGCTGAATGAACTGGGATGGTATATAAAAATATAATCATTTACTTTATGAGATGGTGTCTGTCACAAAATCTGAAGCGGCACCAACTGTTGGAGATATTTTTGTTTATAAATACCTTTTTCACTTAAAAGTGGAAAACCAAATGCAGTCTCTTGTTGTTTTCAGTTTATTAGAAAAGATCTTTTTACATTAAGAAACACAGAATTATACATTTTATACCTGTCCAATGATGACAGCTTTAACCTTGTCAATAGAGGTAGTGTTAAGAGCATTGAAAATCAAGTGCTGAGGAGGATAAACCGGCACACTACTATTGCGAATTTCACTCTCCACAAACTTACACAAGTTTTTAGCATATGGTTTTTCAAACTCCTCTGGCAATGCTTGCAGCCATGACCCCTCCACCAACAATTCCTTCAACTTCACATACTGAGAGCCCTCACCTGTCACACAATTTTCTTCCTTGAATTCCATCACCATTTAAAATAATAAATGAGTACATAAATTGGTGGTGAGTAATGCTAACATGAAATGAGTAATGTGGAAAAGAGCTTCAAGCCTTCAAGGAGTAAATCTTATTTGCTACAAGACAAAAAATGACAGCTTTAGAATTACATTGAAAGTTTCAAGTGAATAGAATTGTTTTCAAATTCAATCAAAAGTTACCTCAGTGGGATTTTTCCAACTTTTCTCTTTAGTACCGCAAACTATGGCAAGAAGTATGCAAATTAAACGTGTGGACAATTGGTCTAGATGTGAACTGTAAAGTCGAAATTTTAAAAGGTTTTTTTTTTTTTTTTTTTTTGGGGGGGGGGGGGGGGGGCTAGAAATGAAATACTGTACAAAGCAAAACAGGTGGCTAGTGAGGCGGTTGAATTTTATTTTATTTCGATTTTTAAGTATTCATTTTATTTTATTAAAAGACCATTGGCTGTTTTTAAGCTATTTCACTTTTTTTTGTTAATAAAGTGCTGAGCACCTCATCTTCTTTGCCTCAAAGATGAACAATCACAACGCAAGAGTATATAATCATCATATAAGCTTCGGATCAATTCATGAACACTGAACGCAGGTTTTCTCTATAAGCATATGGTCATACATTGAAAGATCATACTAGTCGTGTAGGATGACCTTCAGATATTGAACAAGAGACTTTCTCAGCACAGAGTTTGAGATTGAATTTAGCCTTGGCTAGGGATTTGTTGAACTCCATTCTAAAATTCTGTGCAGGCGTGAGTGTTTCTGTCTGCGGGACGACGCCGTTGTCTCCGGCTTGGGGCTCCTTTGGGGACGGCGTAGCAGAAGAGGAGAAGCTACTGACGGGGACAACGGCGGGAGATGACGGTGGTGAGGAGACCCGTTTAAGGCGCTTCGCTGATGGTTGCTTCAATAGATCCATAATAGTTTTTCCGGATGAAGATGCCATTCTTTACACAAGATTCAACCTTTCTAGCTTTCTACTGTGTAGGATCGTAGACCTTACGAAGATAATACTCCGTAGATACGAAGTATTTAGCAAATGGCGCCTCAATTGAGAAGGGCAATGTTTTATGGCGGGAAAGAAAAGCATCATATCATATCATGAGAAAAAAGAAAAGGTAGATAAATCATTGAATTATTTGTGATTCTGTAATTAGATTCCTAAATCAAAGACTTTCAAATACATTGCTCAATTCATTTAAAATTAAGCAATCAGATCTTTTGATACTTGTCGATGCTAATGGGAGATGAGAAATTAAAAGGCTAAAGGGTCAAATAGGTACATGAACTAACTTAAAGTGTTCAATTAGCCCGTTATTTAGGAGGTTCTGTCCGGCCGTCGCCAATTGGAGCGGTTCCCGATGGAATTTTTTAATGAAATTTATTGATCATCTTCTTCATTAAGTCTAGTTTACTCATATCAAAATTCAGCTAAAAATTAAATCGGGAAGGGAGTCAAATGATTTTCCGAAATCTACTGCGCTGTATAACTGCGTAGTTATCTTCAAAAAATCATTTGACTGCCTTCCCGGTTGAATTTTTAGCTGAAATTTGGTATGGGTAAACTACACTTAGTGAAGAAGATGCTCAAAAAAATTCATCAAAAATTTCCATCGGGAACCGCCCCAATTGGCGACGGTCGAGCAGAACCTCCTATATAAGGGGCTAATTGAACACTTTAAGTTAGTTCATGTACGACCCTTTAACCAAATTAAAAAGATTCAGATTGTTTATGTTTCATTTAGTTGATGTGTATCTGATTGCAGAATCTCAAATAGTTCCAGAACTTATTTGTCTCTTTCCTCATAAAAAAGAACCATCGTTGATGTACACCCTTTTGGCGTACACCATTTGTAGACCATCTTAGTAATTGCATTATTTATTACTCCGTATGAATTGCTTTCGTGAACCCACAACAAATGTCGATATACAAATTGTGTACATCAAAAGGGTGTATCGATAGAAAGCTCCAAAAAAATCATCATGAACAAATCATTTATAGGACTCATAAAATATTCATGGTTCATGCATGCCATGTAGCTAGTGTGCAGCTTTTCTTTATTTTATAAATAATAACTAAAATAATATTCCTTCCGACTCTTAAAACTTTGTTCTTTGGTTGTCTTACAAATTTTATCACTCTCTCTTTTAAATAAAAAATTGCGCTTCTAGTTAATTATAAAAAAATTCAACAACATCTTTCTTACTTTATTAATCTCTGTTTCGGTCAAACTTGACAAAGTTTTAAGGGGCGAAGGGGTATAAAGATGATGACACAAATAATAGTTCAAGGATTCTTGTGAACAAAATAAGAGTATGTTTTGAAATGGGCAAAAATGAACTGAAATACCCTTTAGCACATTGCTTCATCTCCATCAGACATGTCTGCCTCCCACAGTTGCATCCCTCCACTGGAGTTCTATATCTCATTTTTCATCGGCCATGTCTCCTTATCCTTCGATCAAAACATCATCGTCAACTGTCGTCAACTGTTATCTCTCTCATCATTCACCTTACCGTCTTCCTCATCATTTCTGCCTTTTATGTTCAATTCTGGGGATATGTTAAGATCGGTGCCTAACGGCCCAAACCCGATGGAACCACCAGTCACATCAAGCATACCATTTTGGGTTACGAAGGAGGAGGATGTGAAGAGGCAAGTTCCAAACGGTCCCAACCCGACTGAGCCTCCTTTAGCATCGTTGGTTTTAAGAGACGAGAAAAGATCGGTGCCTAACGGCCCAAACCCGATGGAACCACCAGCCACATCAAGCATACCATTTTGGGTTACGAAGGAGGAGGATGTAAAGAGGCAAGTTCCAAACGGTCTGAACCCGACTGAGCCTCCTTTATCATCATTGATTTCAACAGATGAGAAAAGACCAGTGCCTAACGGCTCAAACCCGATGGAACCACCAGCCACATCAACAATACCATATTGGGTTATGAAGGACAAAAAGTGGAAAGTTGTGATACCTTCAGAACCAAGTCCAACTGAATCCCCTATTTGAGCAGTTATAGTATAAGATATATATCTACCTCTACAATTTCTCAACTAATAAAGACATTGTTTCTTTATATGATCTAGTTTATCTGTTTCTATAACAAATTACACTAGTGAGTGTGAAATAATGATGTAATAAAAAGTCGGGTTTTCATCATAAAAGGTCAACCTGATAGGAGGAGTAGTCAATGTCTTAATATAACACTTTGTTGATTCAAACTTTTCCGGCGTGGGGTTCTAACACCCCTCCTCACGACCAGACACTTCGTCTGGATCATGCCGTCAGTCATTTTTTCGTCGGTTCCTCATTGTCATTTTTTTAATCGTGTCGTCATTTTTCATAAGGGGGCCCACACCGTGATTATGGATCGGTTTGGCTCCGATACCATGTTAAGACTCGGGGTTCCATCCTAAAAGGTCAACCTGATAGGAGGAGTAGTCCATGTCTTAATATAGCACTTTGTTGATTCAAACTTTTCCGACGTGGGATTCTAACAGGATACAAACAGCCACGTCTGTAACCATCAAATCTGATGGTGGCACATGTGGTTGACTAGACTGGCAGGCTGCGACGATACTAGGTGAGATGCAAGAGGAGGTGTGGTGGCTGGGGCAAGGGATTAGCCGCATTCGCCGCCGTCCATTCATGTCGCAGTTGTCGTCGTCCATTCATGTCGCAGCCGTCATCGTCCTCTCATGTCGTAATTGCCATAGTCCTGTTATGTTGCAATCGTCATTGTCGTACCCCATGCTTCTATTTCTTCTTATTATGTTCGATCGTGGGGGGCTTCAGCGTCGTCTTTAACATTTCACAACTAGGATGGGCGGCAGCACAATAGGAGTTGAGGGAATCGAAATCAGTGGGGCTAGGTTTCGCAAATTAAAGGGGGCTCAAGAGAGGGATGGGTAGGGCTGATGGTGGACAGGGCTGGTAGTGGCTGGCGGCATCAGGGGCCGATGGTGGAAGGGGAGTTTGGGGGCTAGGGGAAGTTAAAGATGAAGTGCCGAAGATGGGCTACAGACACTGTTCACCGAAGAGATGCAAGAGCAGGGTGTCACTGACGGGGTTGTTGGACACTAGAGGGCAGTCGTCGGTGGTTGCCACCAGAGAGGTGCATGAGCGATATGTCAGTGACAGGACAATTGGTCACCGGTGGTGGCAGGTGGTGGTGGTGTATGAGGGTGGTCACTATCAGGGCGAGTAACTATGATTGTAACCATAATTGATCATATAAATGATCAATTCGCCTAACATGAATTGATTCATGATATCAAAGCAAAAAACAAAAGAAACATAAGAAGAATAAATATATAAACTAAGATAACATGGATAAGATAAATATAAGATGAAAATAACATAAGAAGATAAAAGATAAAGAGATAAAAGAACGTAAGAAATATAAGATAAAAGTAACATACGAACATAAAAAGACAAACGAATCCCATCGTAACAATAGCGAGATTGTGGAGCAGTACAAGGTCGTTGGTTAAAGTCATCGTCGGTTGGTTTCATTTAGCTTCTTCAACGAGAGCGCAACTGGAAGATAGAGGGCGATGCAACAGGTGGGATGCAAACTTTGACTGGCAGAAACAAAGCAACTTTGTTCCAGCAATGATGAGTGATGATGTAATGGGTAGGAAGAGATGAGAGACATGAGGGGATGATGAGATGAACAAGGAAGACGAAATATTGATATATATGATTTTTTTTCTCTCAGGTATATTTATCCCAAAAATGTAATATATATATGAATTTTTTAATACGGTAGCCCCTCCTATCGGGAATGTTTGCGACAACCACTTGTTATGTAATGTTATGTTATGTTGGCTTCTCTTATATTATACTCTATTCTATTATACTCCGTATTACATTATATTACATTACAATACATTATATCATATTGCATTATTTTATATAAACTTATGTATATGTGCATACACGAGTATAGGATTTAAATCGTATTTTAAATCATGTGAAGTAAACAAATCACAATAAGCATGACTTAATATTCTGCGATGTAAACATATCCTAAAAATATAGAAAAATTATTTTATAAATGACCCAAGATCTTATGTGAGTCGCACACGCAATTTAAGGAAAAATGGTTATGATACAATTACTTTTTATATCAATATCACATATAACCATTTTGTTAAACGATACAAATGGTTTGTCACCGAGACAAATAAAGCGTGTACACAAATGTATGAACGTGTACACGAAACACCATTTTTTAAAATAAAAGAGCGGGATTTTATATTAATATTGAGAAAGCATACAAGACAATCTTCAGACAATTATGACAAAGTCGATTGTAAGCCCTACGAATAGACATAATGTCACGCCCCGGACCTATCCGGACACGTCAACAACCCGCCGTACAATACGAATGGTCAACCGTAGTCTAACTCATCCATATTATACAAGGCGTCTCGAATATCATTCACACATAAGTCATCCATAAACATACATAATAAGTAATTGAACACGCAGCGGAAAACATAATTCGAAAACAAATGCCACTTGGGGCAAACACGAGCACGCGGGCTTCATAATGAAAAACAATATTCATTAGCATGTTTAAAATGTTCAAAAACAAAATGGATGAAGCACGAACCAAGTCTTCCCTCCGAGATGATCACTCGATCAACAAGCACATATAACAAGCTCTAGCCTCAACCTGAAATGGTGGTGGGACCCCCCGAAAGGGGGTCAGTACTCTATTCGGCTATAAAATACTGGTGTGGATGACATCTAATAGATATACAACAAGTATTTCAAGCGCAAGACCCTCAAATAGGGTGATAATATAAGCTAGGTCGTAACCCCAAGTTACCCCCTTTCCAAATATACTTACTTTATATATAAAATCAAGTAGTCGACACGTAGGCCCAAGGTTTGTTTACAAAACATAACCCAAACCCCGTTATCCCTGGTCACAACAATACATAGGGTCCAACCCTAACACATATGTTTGCATTTCTTGAGTCCAACTCAACTACATCACCATGCACCCTATATGACACAAATTAATTACTCCACCGTGCATTTCTTGAGTCCAACTCAACTACATCATCATGCACATCATAGGCTACAACCTCATATCTCCCATGCATTCTTGAGTCCAACTCAACTACATCACCATGCATGTCATCAATCACCACGTCATGTCTACCCAATGCAATTCTAGAGCACGGCTCAAGTACATCTCCTTGCATTGGCATAGACCCCAATTCCTAAGCACTCATTATGCCTA